TTCAGTTCCAGCCATAAACTCCGCCTCACACGATGATAACGCTACCACACTCAGTTTTTGTGAACACCATGTTATAGGACTCTTACCAAGGTAGAACACATGTCCCATCGTACTTCTTCCATCATCCGGGTCAACATTGTGGCTACTATCGCTGTAACCTGTCAGCTTTGGCGTTCCTTTACACCGGCTAAAGTTCAACCCGAGAGTAGTCGTACCTTTCAAGTATCGTAAGCACTGCTTCATTGCTGCTCCATGCGATTCCTTGGGAGTTTGCATGTATCGGCTTAGTACACCTACACAATAAGACAAGTCTGGTCTTGTGTGAAGTAAGTAGCGAAGACATCCCACATTCTTTCTATAACTTGTAGCATCAATGTCTTTCTCCTCCGATGCCTTTGATAGCTTTAAACCTACTTCCATTGGCGTATGGACCAAGTTACACTCTGTCATTCCAGCTTCCTCCAATATCTTCAATGCATACCGCTTTTGACTTAAGGTTATCCCTTCTTTGTGTTGACACACTTCGATCCCTAGATAATATGTCAACTTGCCGAGGTCACTCATTTCAAATTTTGATGCCATCTCTTTCTTGAAATTCTCTATCACCTCAACATTTGTTCCCGAAACAAATAAGTCGTCAACATATACTGCAAGGAGAAGAATGTGTTGATTCACACATTTTCTGTAGACCGATGGTTCTTTAGAGCATTTCTTGAATTGAAGTTCCTTCAGCACTTGGTTCAACTTTTCATTCCACGCTCTAGGAGCCTGCCTTAGACCGTACAAGGCTTTGTTCAGTTTGTAGACCTTGTCCTCATGACCTTTTACTTTGAATCCCTCTGGCTGCATTACGTACACTGTCTCTTTCAGCTCCCCATGCAAGAACGCCGTTTTCACGTCTAAGTGATGTATTTCCCATCCTTTAAAGGCTGCTAGACTTATAAGGAGGCGAATTGTCTCAATACGTGCTACCGGAGCAAACACGTCCTCAAAATCAATTCCGTGTTTCTGCACATATCCCTTAGCAACGAGTCTAGCCTTATGTTTACTTATGCTTCCATCGGAGTTTCGCTTAAGTTTAAACACCCATTTTAAACCTATCGGCTTCACATCTTGTGGTGAGTCTACGAGATCCCAAGTGTGATTTTTCTCAATAGAATGAATCTCATCCTTGCAAGCGGCCATCCATTCTTTTGATTCCTTAGCTTCACAAAAATCCCATGGTTCATCATTTATGCACATTAGCAGTCTTTCTCCCTCTTCTTCTCCAAGCAAGACGTAATCTTGAAGATACTTAGGTTTAGTGATCACTCTTCCCGATCTAGTGACTACTTTCCCTGTTTGCACTTGATTCTCATTATCATCATTGTCATCTTCACTCTCTGATGATTCTTCATTGCTTTCATTCCCTATTTGTGAATTCTCCTCTGTATCTTCTTCGACTATGTTTTCGGCCTGTGCTCCTCTGTTTTGTTCTGTTTCTTGAATCCCATGATTTCCGAAAGTTCCAAGCTCAATTCTAAGATCACCTACACTGTCACTCTCCGTGTTGGTTTTGTCCCAGTTCCATCCTTTACTTTCGTCAAAAACCACATCCCGACTTACCACTGCTTTCTTATTCTAAGGATCATATAACCTATACGCTTTTGAGCCAGGCTCTGTTCCTAGATGAACTAGTGCACGCGATCTGTCATCTAGTTTCTTTAGGTGTGACGCCTCTGTTTTTGCATAGCCTATACAACCGAAAACTCTGAGATGGCTGATGTTAGGGATTTTGGATCGCAACACTTCATACGGGGTCTTGTCTTTGAGTGATCTTGTAGCTACTCGATTTAACAGGTAAGTGGAGTGTCTCACAGCTTCTCCCCACAGAAAGTTTGGAACTCTCATGTGTTTTAAGATGCTTCGGGTCATCTCCATAAGAGTCCTGTTGCGTCTCTCAACAACTCCATTCTGTTGGGGAGTATACGGAGCTGTGAGGTGTCGTTTGATACCTGTTGTTGCACAAAAATCATTAAACTCATGTGATACAAATTCTCCTCCTCTGTCAGTTCTGAATGTTTGTATTGCTTCCCCTATTTCTTGTTCTACCAAACTCTTGAATCTTTTAAATTTCTCAAAGGCTTGACTCTTTTCTTTAAGCAGCACTGTCCACATGTATCTTGAAAAATCGTCGATAAGAACAAAGACGTATTTGTTTCCTGCTATTGTGCTTGGTGTAATCGGTCCACATAGATCCCCATGGATCAATTCAAGTGGTTTTGTTGCTCTGAACATAGTAGCTTGGGGAAACACTTGTCTTGTCTGTTTTCCAAGAAGACATGAACCGCAAACTTTTTTCTCGAAGTTAACATGTGGAATTCCTCTTACAAGTTCTCTTTTCACCATAGACTTCAATGTTTCAAGATTGATGTGTCCTAGTCTCGCATGCCACCTATCCGATTCAATTTGTGTTGTTGAATAAAGACACATCGTATCTTTAATCCCCATGTTTACTTTGTAGAGGCGATTTCTTGATCTAACTGTTTTGACAAGTAGTTTTCCTTCTCGATCGTGCATTATTAAATCTTCTCCTTTCATCCTCACGTCGCATCCTGATTCTGTGGCTTGACCAAGGCTAATAATGTTACTTTTCAGATCGGGAATGTAATAAACATCGATCAATTTTCTTAGTTCTCCGTTTCTATCAATGAATTCAATGGAGCCCTTTCCTTTGATGTCTATTCGCGAGTCATCTCCGAATCTTACTTTTCCAGTGATAGTCCGATCAATGCTTGAGAAGTATCGTTGATCTCCAGTCATGTGATTGCTAGCTCCGTTATCAAGGTACCATACATCACCTTCTCCGGAGTTTGTTTCATACTTGCTTGGTAAGAACTTTTCTTCGTTTAAGTGCACTACCTCATGCATCATTAACTCATCTGCCTCCACTGTACTCTTGGTATCTTGCTCTTGTGCTTCTTGCAGTTTGAGCAAACGGTCTGGACAGTCGGATGCAAAATGGCCTATCTTGTCACACCTGTAGCAAGTAATCTTTGAAGTGTCTCTTCCTCCATTGTACCTTCCTCTGCCCCTTCCTCTGTTATAGAAGCGTCCTCCGCGTCCTCTGTATCTATTTTCTCCACCATATTCACGGTTAGGTTGTGATGATGAAGACTCCGCAGCTCCATACATCAATTTCCCTTGATCATCTTGAGTTTCTTCTTCTTCTTCGGTGACACGTTCCTCATAAACTTTGAGTCGCCCTACTATTTCTTCAAAACTTGTTTCCTTGAGGTTAAGCACTTGTTCAAGTGATGCCACAATCTGAATATACTTCTTTCTAGGAAGGCTCTTAAGGAATTTCTTAACAATTTTGCTTTCTTCAATGGTTTCTCCTAGTGAAGCAGATTTTGATGAGATTTCTGATAACTTGCTGGCAAAGTCATCAATTGTCTCGGTCTCCTTCATCTTCAATCTATCAAACTCCGCCATTAAAGTTTGCAGTCTTGCTTCCTTAACTCTCTCTGCCCCTAGATGTTTTGATTTGATCGCTTCCCATACCTTTTTAGCCGTGTTCGCCTTTCCGACTTGTAAGACAAGGGACTCGGGAATAGATTGAAACAGCAAGGCAGTAGCCATGTCGTTCTTCTCTTCATCGTTTGATGATTCTTCTATGGCCTCCCACACCTTATTAACCCTAAGTAAAATCCTCATCCTCATAGCCCATACGGTGTAGTTAGTTGATGTTAACATAGGGCACTTGATAGATGAAGATCCTCCGTTGTCTTTCACTTTCGCCAAAGCTGCGTTTGACGTCTCCGTAATTTCTCCCATGATTTCTCACGAGAACTAGTCTCACAGATCTTTGTCAAGCTCTGATACCAAATATAGAACTAGATTATTGTTTTACGAGTGCAAGATTAAAAGTATAACTCACTTTATTGCTTTAAGAAAATAACTCAAAACTTAAGCTCTCTTAAACTCATAAAACTCTAATCTCTCATATCCTTAGGTCATAACTCAACCCTCTATTTATAAGACTCTCTTAATCCTAATCTCACTATGGATTACATTAAATATTAGATAACTCCTAATATTTGATCTTTATCTCTAACAAACCATAACTCGGTTTTGGTCTTCTAGAAGCTTCCGGTTTAAGTTAACTTCAAGCTTACTCCAACACAATCTCCTTCTTGATAGTGACATATGAATGGAATATTTTCGAGCTTTTATTATGGTGTACTAGTCAAATTCTTGTGTTTTATTTTCGTTGCTCTAAGCTAGTGTGTTGCTCTGTTTTGATAGAGCTCTAAACTTTGAATGAAATTCATTAGTTTTCTAATAGATTAATATAAGTAAACGACTAAAGCTAATTTCAACCTGCTTTTGGAGTGACAAGTTTTTTTCAGAACAGTGAGTCGAGTTCAAAATATTCAACAAGATTTAAATGATATCATAAATATTCTTATAACATCATACCTTCAAGTCAGCGAACGAATAAAATGAAAACAAAACCAAACATCGCACTCCAAATAACAAAATTAAAATAGAAAATTACAAAAGTTTCATCGTCACAAAATATATAACAATTTCTCGTCATGGCTAACCTCAGCCTCACCAGAGAGTTCTTCGAGGGACTTTCCCTTTGGCTCTGGGACAAGGAAGGTGAAGAGCATACCGATGAAGTTAAGAACACCAAGCACGATCAGTGAGTTCTTAACTCCGATGCCTGGTGGGTATCCTGCATCCACCTTGGCCTTGTCTTGTGACTGAGCTGCATATAGGAACCCGAAGGCTCCAACGATGGCTCCAGCCTTACCAGCCGCGGCCGATATTCCATGACATGTTGACCTTAGTCTGGCCGGGAATATCTCAGCCGGGACAATAAAAGTGGTTGCATTTGGACCAAAATTGGCGAAGAAGAAAGTGAGAGCGTACATAACCACGAATCCGATACGGTTTTCTGGTTTGGTCCAGTGGTTGTAAGGGAAGGCAATTGCAAACATAAAAACGGTCATCATGAAAAATCCCATTAGCTGGATCGCAAACCTTCCAATGATATCAATAAAAGCAACTGTGAACCAGTAGCCTGGGACTGTACTGCAAAGGGCGATAAGAGTCTGAGCCCTAGCAATCCTGAAAACCTCATGGGTCGCGTTCATGGTGGCTGGCTTTGGGATCCATCCGATGGCCGAGAAAATATCCTTCTGGAACAAGTTTTGGCTGTAGAAGGCAATGTCAAGCAAAAACCAAGTGGAGGTAGTTCCAAGGAGATGAAGCCCATGGCGCCGAAGGAATTCCTTGGAGAACAAGCCATAGTTTTGTCTGGGGTCTTTGACGAAATCCTCGGCCCTCTCCTCAACCTCAAGATCTGTATGTAAGACCTTGGACATGTCTGCTGTGGCTTGTTTGATGTTCTTGGCCACCAAAGCGGTGTAACGAGCTGTTTCGGGCATCTTCATACGCCAGTAGTAAGTCAAAGCTGCGGGTAAAGCACCAAACATGACGATGATTCGCCAAATGTAATCAACTTGAGGAGGCGTTGAGTGTTGTGCAAACTTGATAAACCTTAAAAGACTTGAGGCCCAAGAATAAACTAAACAAGTCGGTTTAGTTAAAAGATTTGAGATAAGATTTAGCTAGGTTAGGAGTTATCTAATCCTAGTGTGTTTAGGACTTTTGGTTTTGTATAAATAGAGGTACCTAGATTGTGGTAACCCTATGAGTTGTTTTGAGATTAAGAGAGATTGTGTAACCTTTGTTTTGAGTAAGTTTCAAAGGTAATAAGAAGAGTTGTTCTTATAAACACAAAGTCTTGATCATTAGGGTTTTGACCCTTAGTTCTTAATTCAATATTTGGTATCAGAGCCATACTATTGGATTGAGTAACCTAGGATCTAAAAGAAAACTTTACACGCTACGAACAGAGCTTCGTCAAAGGTGAAGCATGGCTGATATAATCCCGGTTCCAGCTAGGAACAAGGAGACTAGTTCTTCTATACAGTGCCCGATGCTTAACACATCAAACTACACTGCATGGAACATGCGAATGAGAGGAGTACTTAGGGTTCATAAGGTTTGGGATACAATAGAACCAGGAAACGACGATGTAGAAAAGAATGATTTAGCTAAGGTTCTCTTGTTTCAATCTATACCAGAAGCAATGATTCTTCGAGTGGGAGATTATGAAACTGCAAAAGAAGTCTGGAATGCGATCAAAACAAGAAACCTAGGTGCTGAAAGGGTAAAAGAAGCAAGATTACAAACTCTAATGGCTGAATTCGATAAACTAAAGATGAAAGAAACAGAGACAATAGAAGAATTTGCCGGAAAACTTTCTGAAATATCAACAAAAGCAGTTACATTAGGGGAAAGCATTGAGAAACCAAAACTTGTCAAGAAGTTTCTTAAAAGTGTACCTCGTAAGAAATACATTCACATAGTTGCTTCCCTTGAACAAGTACTTGATTTAAAGACAACAAGTTTTGAAGAAATAGTCGGAAGACTAAAAGTATATGAAGACAGAGTATGTGATGAAGAAGATCAACATGATGATCAAGGAAAGCTCATGTATGCTAACTCAGAATCACAAACCTATCAAGAAAACTATGGTTCAGGAAGAGGCCGAGGATCTAGTTTCAGAGGCAGAGGCAGAGGACGATTTGGTGCTCAACAGAATGGTTCTGTTAGACAAGGAAAAGATAAAACTAAAGTCATATGTTACAGATGTGACAAAAGTGGACACTATGCTTCAAATTGTCCTGTAGACTACTAAAACTCCAAGAAACACTGGAGAATGATGAAGACAAAACTCAAGAAGCTGATAGACTAATGATGCATGAAATAGTCTACTTAAACGAAAAAAATGTAAAGCCAGACAAATTTGAGATTCAGAAGGATGGTGACAATATCTGGTATTTAGATAATGGTGCAAGCAACCACATGACAGGAAACAAAGACTATTTCTCAAAACTTGATGAAACAATCACAGGAAAAGTCAGATTTGGAGATGATTCATGCATAGATATTAAAGGAAAAGGATCAATTCTCTTTGTAAGCAAGGATGGTGAAAGAAAGGTACTTGCAGATGTGTACTATATACCTAATCTAAGAAGCAGTATCATAAGCCTCGGACAGGCCACAGAAGCAGGCTGTGATATTAGGATGAAAGATGAGCAACTAACAATACATGACCAACAAGGTAGACTACTTGTAAATGCTAAGAGATCAAAGAACAGACTGTACAAGGTTCTTATGAAAGTTGAACCAACAAAATGTTTACAAATAGAAGAAGTTAGTGACTCAGCAAAGTGGCATGCAAGATTAGGACACATAGGGTTAGATACTATGAAGTCTATGATAAGTAAAGAGTTAGTCATTGGTTTACCTAGTATAACAGTTGAAAAGGAAACATGTTCTTCATGTTTACTAGGAAAACAGGTAAGACAAAGTTTTCCTCAGGCTACATCATACAGAGCTTCACACATATTGGAACTCATACATGGAGACTTGTGTGGACCGATTACACCCTCCACAGCTGCACAAAACAAGTATATCTTTGTGCTAATAGATGATTACTCCAGATATATGTGGTCATTGCTTCTGAAGGAGAAAAGTGAAGCATTTGAAAAGTTTAAAAAATTCAAAGTTCTAGTCGAGCAGGACACTGGAACAAAAATAAAGACTTTCAGAACTGATAGAGGTGGAGAATTTACCTCTCATGAATTTCAAAGTTTCTGTGATAATTCAGGTATTCAGAGACATTTAACAGCTCCATACTCACCACAACAGAATGGTGTAGTAGAAAGAAGGAATAGAACTTTACTTGAGATGACTAGGAGCATTTTAAAGCATATGAAAATGCCAAATCATCTATGGGGAGAGGCAGTGAGACATGCTACTTACCTCATAAACAGAGTGGCAACAAGAACTTTAAAGGATAAAACTCCATATGAAGCATTTAAAGGAAAGAAACCAAACATCATACATTTGAAAGTATTCGGATGTATTTGTTATGCAAAGATTGAAACACAGCACTTAAAGAAACTTGATGACAGATCAAAAGCCTTAGTTCATCTTGGAACAGAACCTGGATCCAAAGCATATAGATTGTTAGATCCAGCAAAAAGAAGAATTGTGGTAAGTAGAGACGTAGTCTTTGATGAGAAAAGAAGTTGGAATCAACTCATTCAGGAAAAGATGAGAGTGATAATGT